AAAAAAAAAAGAACAAAGGGCTCACTCACTCTCCCTGAAGCTCCGGCAAGTCACCTTGGGAAGAGCTGACGGCAACAGTCCTCATGTTGTCTCAATGTGCACATCGCTAGCTCCCCCACAAAAGTTACTGCCAGCACTTCTGAGCTTCTCATTTAAGTCAGGCTCACTCCTGAGGCTGAGTAAGGTTGGCCAGTGGCCCAAAAAAACCAAAAAAAAAAAAAAAAAGAACAAAGGGCTCACTCACTCTCCCTGAAGCTCCGGCAAGTCACCTTGGGAAGAGCTGACGGCAACAGTCCTCATGTTGTCTCAATGTGCACATCGCTAGCTCCCCCACAAAAGTTACTGCCAGCACTTCTGAGCTTCTGATTTAAGTCAGGCTCACTCCTGAGGCTGAGCAAGGTTGGCCAGTGGCTGAAGCTTTTTACTACCGTCTCTGCACTAAGAAACCTAACAGTGTTGTGTTTATGTTGCTAGCCAGAGAAGACCTCTGCTCAAACCCTTTTTCAAGCTGTTCACAGTTCCTCTTATCCCTGTGACCTCTCTAGTTTAATGGATTGTGGAGGTGAGGGTGAAAGCTCCTCCCCACATCTGAAGCATTCAAAACTCATTCAGTGAACTTTATGGAGTGTGTCGAGGTCAGACCACTGAAGAACTTTCCACCTTCATTACACTCATAAGGTACTTATCAAAATGAATCTTCCGATGTCTAGAAAGGCCAGAGCTGTAGCGAAACACTTTACCACACTCCCTGCACTCATAATGCTTTGGCTCACTGTGAGCTCTCTCATGTCTGATGAGGTTAGAATGCCAAGTGAAGAATCTCCCACATTGATTGCACTTAAAAGGCTTTGATCTGAAATGAGCGTGCTGGTGATGCACGAGGTGACAATTTTTGCTAAATAATTTCCCACATTCACTGCACTTATATGGCTTTTCTCCAGTATGAACGGTCTGATGTTCAACAAGGGAGCAGTTACGCCAGAAAGCTTTTCCACATTCACTGCACTTAAAACGCTTTACTTTAGTGTGAACATTATAGTGTCGAAGGAGATGGGCATTTCGGCTGAAGGCTTTCCCACACTCACTGCACTTAAAAGGCTTTTTTTCTCTTCTGTATAATCTCTGGTGCTGAACAAGTACAGGATTCTGACTAAAGGTTTTGTCACTGTCACTGCATTTATAGTCCCTGTTTGCAGTGGGAATGGCCTCTGCACTCTTGGTACTCCTGGGTGGCTGATCACCACCGTGGGTCATCCAATCTCCTAGATGAGAGCTGGTCTGCAGGTACATCCCGCTGCACTTGCTTTGTAAGCTCGTCTCTGACAGGTGGTTTCTGGTGCTCTTCATAACTGGGATCCTGCCCTCTTCTGTTTTTAAGGGTTTCTCAGCACTTCTCAGCTTTTGCTGTTGGTGAAGGCTAGTACTCATTTCTTTACCTGTAGAAAGCGTCTGTTCAAGAGCTGTCTGTTCAAGAGCTGCCTGTTCAGCCTTGGCTCCATTCCAATAACCTGAACAAGGAGAAATGCTGATGAAGGGCACATAGACTTTGAAGTGACAGGTTGCTAGAAAGCAGGATCGGCGATTTCTGACAGAATGCGGGGGCTAGGTCACAGGGGCAGGGGTCCACCAGAGTGCTGAGCCTGATAAGAACACAGATTCAGGGGCCCCAGGGGCAGCAACAGCAGAAGGATGGCACGCAGCACAGGAGGGACAGGGACCCAAACACTCCCGGGCAAATGGCTTTCTGCAGGGCCTCAGCTGCTTGAGAGGCAGAATACAGTGCAAAAGAATGTGCTAGGGCCATAAAACAGGATGACTATGCTGGGCATGGTGGTGCATGCCTTTAATCCCAGCACTTGGGAGGCAGAGGCAGGTCACTCTCTGTGAGTTTGAAGCCAGCCTGGTCTACATAGCAAGTTCCAGGCCAGTTGGAACTACAGGGAGACACTGTCTCAAAAAGAAAAAAAAAAAAAAAAAAACCAAACCAACAACAAAAAAACCAGGCTGACTATAGAACATACATACAAGGACGGCTCAGGGGATTAGTGCATGATAACAGCACAATCAAGGAAAACCACACTGTCACAGTGCAGGGGAGCAGGCAAAGTGCCCGTAGGTGAGGGAGAGCCCTCACTGAGAAAGAATGGAGAAGGTAAGTAGGCAACTGGGCAAGCTAAGATAGACAGAAATCTGCCATGATGCTTTGCCATGGCACCCAAACATCAGAACCAATAGAAAAGATATTTTCTAAAAAACCCATTCCAGAATTCATTTACCACTCAGCTCTACCAACCCAGTACCTGTCCACATAGCTGGAGTCATGATTCCTCGGGCAGGGATGACGGGCTCTTTCCACGACTGCAGCTGAGTGATTTCATGGGTCCCAGGAGGTATAAGTCCTAAGGAAAAAATAGGACATACTTGGACAGAATGACCCAACCATGGCAGTTCATAGGAATGAAAACTAATGAAACAGACCCTTGGTGGAGTCTTTCAAGAACAACTAAACAAATAGAGGCCACAGCGGTGCCAGAATTCCTGCAACGGGCAGAACTGTGGTGGTCTGAATAAGGAATATCCCCCCACAGGCTCCAAGTATTTGAACAGTGGACCCCAGGTGGTGGCGCTGTTCGCAGAGGGCCATGGAACCTTTAGAAGGTGTGGTTATGCTGGAGGAAGCACGTCACTGGGGCAGGCTTTGAGAGTTACAGCTTTGCCTGCTTCTAGCTTACCTCTCTTCTGCTTCCTGTGCCTGACTAAAGACGTGAGTGCTCCAGCTTTCTCTCCAGCTGCCTCCTGCCATGCCTCCCCACAATGGACTCCCATCCCTCAGGAACTGTAAGCCCAATAAACTCTTCCTTCTAAAAGTTTCCTTGGTCATGGTGGGGTTTTTTTTAAATATATTTTTTATTTTTATTTTATGCATTAGAGTGTATTGCCTGAACGTGTGTAAGTGCATTCGTGTCATGCAATGCCCACAGAGATCGGAAGAAGGCGTTAGATCTCCTGGAACTGGAGTTAGATGGTCGTAAGCCACCATGTGAGTGCTAGGATCAAACCTGGGTCTTCTGCAAGAGCAGCCAGTGCTCTTAACTGCTAAGCCATCTCTCCAGCCCTGGTCATGGTGTTTTTATCACAGCAACAGAAAAGTAACTACTAGAAGGATCAGGGCATATCAAGTAACAGTTGACGACAGGGCTGAAGTCACAGAAAGAGGCTGTATTTATAGTGTCACCAGGCCATGGACAAGCCGTCAAGACTAGCATTATAGTCTGATGATAAGATTCCCCTGACCACAAGCTTCTCCCTACATGCCTTTACGGTGGTTCAGAGAGAGAAGGTGTTCGTGTACATAGCTCAGGATTTTCACCTATATTTCTACAGCAGGACATTGGAAAGAAGCAGTGTCCACAGGTTAAACTCTGCAGCTATGGAAAAGAAACCAAGACCACCTGATGATGCTGTGACAGGGAGCAAGGTGCTTACCCACAGAGGCCATGAGTTTGAAGTTCTCCAGCATTACACTGTGGTACAGGAACTTCTGAGAGTCACTGAGCAGTGTCCATTCCTCCCTTGAGAAGCAGATGGCCACATCTTTAAAGGTCACACAGCCCTGTCACCATGGGGAGAGATGAGTTCACAAGAAGTCTCCTGCCTTGGGACATGTGCAGAGGGTACCAGGCTCTGGTGCCACTGACATGTGTAGTCTTTCTTGTGTCCCCCTGATTACTGTGTTCAGTACTCACCATGAAAAGGCAGGTGGACATGAGGGCTACCCAAGCTCAATATTTGACATGCAATGCTCCCCTAGTCTCCTTATAGATCATTCACATGGCGTTCTCCTCGATATGGCCAGATGTGGGTCACTGTTCCCCCTCATGCCCATGATACATGGGCCTGGAGGCCATCTTCACACATTCCCTCTCAGCATGTTCATCTCTCTTCGTACCACACCTCCATTTCCATCTCATTAAACAGCTCCTCTGTTTACTGCCCCACCATGAACTCCTGCCTTTCACTATTTCCACCAGACATAAGGCTGTCTGAGTATTTCCAATTCAGTCTTACTTCCTGACATTTTCTAACATCCAGCACTGGAACTCTATCTTCTGAATGTCATGTCAGTGGTTGCCATAAATGGGAACCTCACCATACAATCCCTGCACTGGACTCAGGGACCTTGCATTCTACGATCACTTTCCATGGAACAGATGTGAGGATAGGGAGAACTGCGAGCAGAGGCACAGGGCACTTCAATCCCAGAGATCACTTACATGGCAAGTGGGAAGGATGAGTTTCTGGGACATCCTCCACTTACCTCTCTGTAGTGGGTAGGTGTCTCTGAAGCAATAGGAACCTGTGGAAAAACAAGGGAATGAATAATAAGCTATGATGCTGGTACTCCAAAGGACCATCTAGGTCCTCCCTCATACCTACCGCCAGGTATACCAAAATGCCATCTTGGCCTCAGTCCTCAATGAGGTCTCTTACTAACTGGGTGCCCCGGGACAAAGCCTCAAACAGCTCAGTGTTATCCTTTGGGATATGGGAATAAGAATGCCACCCCTGGGATGTGGTGGCACATGCCTTTAATTCCAGCACTGGAGAGGCACAGGCAGGCAGGTCTCTGTGAGTTCAAGGCCCCCTTGGTCTACATAGTGATTTCCAGTCCAGTCAGGCCTACATGGTGAGACTATGTCTCAAAAACAAAATCAAAATAAAGGAAAAAAGCAAAACTAGCTGGGCATGGTGGCGCATGCCTTTAATCCCAGCACTTGGAGGGCAGAGGCGGGTGGATCTATGTGAGTTCGAGGTCAGTCTGGTCTACAAAGTGAGTTCCAGGACAGCTGGGGCTACAAGGAGACCCTTTCTCAAAAAATACCCTTTTTAAAAAAAAAAAAAAAAAAAAAAAAAAAAAAAACCAAAAGAATGGTACCCTTCACCAGCGGGAGTATTATTTTATCATATTCAGTCCTATGTATCTTTCAAGAGTTTCAGCAAACATTCTTGCACACTTTTACAATGTATGGTTTTGTTTTACATATAGTTAATTAAGACTATAATATTAAGCCAGCATGTAGAGCATGTCTTAAATCTAGCACTCAGGAGGCAAAGAAAGCCAAATTTCCATGAGTTTAAGGCTAGCCGGGTCTACATAGCAGGTTACAGGTCAGTCAGGGCTACATAGTGAAACTCTATCTCAAAACAGCAGCCCCCCGCTCCCCATGTACACACACACATACACACACACAGAAAAAATGTGATATTTAACATTAACCTATTTAAGTAAATTCTGGATATATTTTCAAGCAATTGTGTTTACAATAATGTCATATCCATGCTATTTGAATGAATTAAAGTGCACTTGTGTTGTACAATGCCCAAGGAGGCCAGAAGAGGGCATTGGATCCCCTGGAAATGGAGAGCCAAAGGTCATAAGTGGTCGTCTGGGTACTGGGAACCAAACCATGGCCTTCTGCATGAGCAGCCAGTGCTCATAACTGCTGAGCCATCTCTAAAGCCTCTGTCCATGCTATATAAATCACCTCTGGCTATGTATAAATCTTGACTACTATATAAACAAGTAGTTGTTAGATAAAATTAAAGTTACTGACAGAGAGCCTGGAGCTACGTAATCAGCTTCTAGGTTTCGGCCATGTATAGTGTACATACCAAAAGAGGACATTTGTTTGAGGGTCCTTCTATACATGAAGGCCTGCTGCTGAATCCAGTCTATAAGTCCCTCACCCAGACCTCCATTTCAGTCCAGAATCCCTCCACTTTATGAACTTCCAACCCTGCAAACAGTAGCCAGTAGCCATATCGGCTAAACCCATGTCCTTTCTTCATCTAGAAAGTCTACCCAACCCCAAACTCTTACAATTCACATGTGATTGTGTCCTTTAATCTTGGTGATAGGGAGGCAGAAGAGGTGGATCTGTCAGTTCTAGCCTAGTCTACTCTCCAAAGCAAGTTCCAGGCCACCTGGGCTACAGGGAAAACCTGTCTCAAAAACAAACAAACCCACCAAAAAACCAAAACCAAAAAAAACCAAACTACAACCAAACCAACCAACCAAGCAAACAATAACAACAAAAGAAATAAAATCCAGGGGGCTAGAGAGATGGCTTAGTGGATGCTCTTGTAGAGGACTAAGGTTCAGTTCTCAACAACCACATGGTAGCTAACAACCACCCTTAATTCCAGTTCCATGCAGGAAATCCAAACCCTCTTCAGGCCTCCATGGGCACTGAGGAACACAGGTGCACTTACGAACATGCAGGCACAACATATACACATAAAATGAAAATAAATAAAAAATAAATTGTAAAAAAATCTGAGAAATGAAAAATTGTTTAAAAAACACAAAAACAACAAGAAAAATCTTTTTTTTTTCTTTTCTTTTCTTTTTTTTTTTTTTGGTTTTTTTGAAAGAGGGTCTGCTGTAATCCCAGCTGGCATGGCACTTGCTATGTAGACCAGACTGGCCCTTGAATTTAGAGATCCACCTACTTCTGCCTCCGGAGTGCTGGGATTAAAGGTGTGACTACCACAACTGGCAAGAAAAATCTTAAGATTCTCCTTCCCAAATATACCCCCAGGCTTTGGGCTGGTTCAGGCTCTGTAGGTCCAGAGGTAACTCATCTCAGACTCTCAGGATCCCCACGCGCAAAACCCAGCTAACCACCCTGAAACTTGCTCCCTGCACAACCTTCCCTCCCTCCATCCTTTCACAAGATCAGAACAAAAACACTTGAATGGCCCCTTCTCTTCTAAGCTCATTCACGCCTACATGTAGCTCAGGCTGTCCTGTCCAGCTTTAAAGTCCACTTCATATCTGAACACTTCTCTCCAGCTTTGTGGTCAGCTCTATGCTCCACACCCACCAGCCTCCTGCCTTAGTATACCGGGTTTAAGGACTCTCAGGGCGCCTTGTTTCTACCCCCGTGACCCTCCCACTTCTGGCCTTGAGGCTTGGAAAACTAAGAAATCGGTCGACTCTCTCTCTCCTCGGTTCCAATCTTCCACCAGCGCCTTCCTAAATAAAGCTCAGCCTCCTCGGGAGCGTTGAGCCCTTCCCCTCTCCCCAAGCCTTTGGAGGTCGCAGCCCAGCACACCCTGGAAATCAGCGGGCATCACACCGGAGCACACACAGGGCAAAAAGGAGCATTTCGGCCCGAGGTCTCACTGTGCCACGGGCCCTGCTGCAGGCTCTAGCTCACCCTCATGCTCTAGGGACTCGGGTGGGCCCGGAATCACGCCGCACTCACCGGATCCGCCGCTCCACGCACAGCCGCCATCAGACTCTGCGGGCGAGCCGGGTACGAGGACGCGGCCGTGCGCACCCCAGACCTGCAGCGGGGCTCCCGGGGCGTCGTGGACTTCAGACCCATCGCGGTGCCCGAGGACAAAGCCTCCCTCCTCTCCTCCTTCCTGCCCGGGCCTATGCCCAGGAAAATTAGTTTTCCCGGACCTGACCAACCCAAACAGGAACTTTGAAAGGAATCCCAGGCAGCGAACCGCCAAAGTCCCGCCCAACGCTAGCTGTAGCCATGGAAACGTCCGTTTTCACTGGCTGAGGCCGCGGGCCTCTTGGCGCAGTCCCTTCTGGGTAATGCAGTACCTACAGCGTCCAACTCCAGAGAAGTGGACACAGTGCAGGGATGGAGATGGAGAATCAGTCTCCAGGGAGTTCAGCGGACTCAGGAGGAGACTGTCAGATTGATGATGCCGCAAGTATTTCCCACTTGTAGTGAATGGTTGTGTTTTCAGAACCAGTGGGGGTGGGGGGCTTTACCTGCCGAACCAGTACCAAGATAGAAAGATGCCTGAGTAGAGAAACGGCAAAGATTAACATGGAGGAAAAAGCAAAGCACAGACTTGGAATCACGGGATCATCCATTACCACCTGTAACTGAGAATTGACTCTTTCCTCAGTTTCACACATCAGATATTGGTCAGAAATGGTGTCAGTATCGTTGACTTTTTAAAAACCTTTTATTTTATTTATTTCTTTGAGACAGGGTCTCTGTATTCCCAGCTGGCTTGGAACTTGCTATGTAGACCATGCGCCTGCCTCTGCCTCCCAAGGGTTGGGATTAAAGACTTGCACCACCTTTCCCGACATTATCATTGACTTACATTGATCATCTCTATGCTAAAAGAAATCTGAGGCTTTATACAGGATTCCACTCAAGGAAACCTCTTTAGCCGGGTCCTGAAGACACTAAGGAAAGGCTGGGCAGCAGCTACTCAAGGAAACAGAAATACTGGCCTATCTACAATCAGGACTGTCTCTGCAGGACCCCGATGAACTCCATGGGTACCGCTCCTTCAACATCCATCTCAGCAGCACTTTTCATAAGTCTAATACCAGAGGAACTATATTACCCAGAAGGAAGTGCTTGAAGACTCAGCAAAGGAAAAGGGCCGTTTCCATGACTACAAAAACAAACAGCAGGGGGCTAGAGAGATGGCTCAGCAGTTAAGAACACTGTTCTTGCAGAAGACCCAGGTTCAAATCCCAGTATCCACATCACAGCTAACAACTGTCCATAACTCCAGTTCCAGGGGATCTGACAGCCTCTTCTGTCCTTCGTGGACATTGCACGACACGGGTGCAATTACCTACATGCAGACAATACACACATACACATAAAATAAATATTTAAAAAAAGTGTGGGGTGGGACTTGTGTCAATGCCTGCAGTGATTCTTATCTGGGTAGGTCAGGTGGGAGCTGGGAATCCAACTCAGGTCCTCTGCAAGAGCAGCCAGTGTTCTTAACAGCTGAGCTATCTCTCCAGCCGGTAAACTGAATCTTTAAAAATCCCCAAAACACTTTTGTACATGAGAAACACTTTTTTTTTTCCAATCAGTTTTCCTGGATAGTACATTCCAGCAACCTCAAATTTAGCCTGGGGGCTCAAGATGTGGCTGAGAAGCTAGAGAACTTGAAACTATTCCAGAGGACTACAGTTTGGTTCCTACCACCCACATCAGGCAGATCCGAACCTCTCTTGTGGCCCCTGTAGGCATCAGCACACATGTGGCATACACTCATACAGGTACATGCACATAAATAAGAATAAATCCTAAAAAAATAGAAGAAGAAGAAAAGCCAGCCACAGAGACGAATTGGTCTTATACCTTGCAGTCAAGGTGTGTTGTGTCTTATATATTATATATAGTTCTGGTGGGCAACCAAGGGAGAACAGCGAAAGCACAGAAGAGATGGGGATGCACAGGACCCATGAATGCTGGCTTTCTGATCTGAGGCTTGTTGCCCTGCATGACCAGGTATCTGCTGAGTTCATGAGAAAAGGCAGGAATGGAGGAGAAACAGACTCTTTCCTCATTTTTACACACCAGATATTGTGTCACAACACTTAACTTCTATATTGAGCTTCCCCGGGCCCAGGGTAATCATTTCGCCCAAGGAAACCTCCTTACTGGAGCCCTGAAGATACGCTTAAGGAGAAGGAAAGACTGCAGCAGCTCGGGGACACGGAAACACTGGCGCATCTGGAACCACCACAATCTCCACAGGTTTCTCCTTTGTGGAGACTGAGTCTCCATCTCCACCTCTACTTATGAGTCTCCAACTCCGTCTCTACCGCGGAGGTTCTATCTTCATCTCTACAGCGGAGTCTCCATCTCCACCTGTACAGCCATGTCCACTTCCCCCATGATTGACGCTGGGGAACTACATTACCCAGAGGAGAGCGCGGGGAGCCTGCGAGAGGGCTCAGCCAATGAAAACAGGGGTTTCTTTTCTGCAAATTAGGACGGGGATTTCCAGCTTTGCTTTTCCTGGATTCTCTGGCTGGGTTTGCGTCCAGCTGGCCAGGGGAGGAACGGAGTGAGGAGCACGGCTTAGTCCTGTGGCTCCGAGTCGGCTCTGCGGCGCCCCTTGACCCGCGGGACGGCCCTTGTGTCCCTCTGGCCGGCAGAGTCAGATGGCAGCGGCTGTGCGGGGAGACCCGAGTCAGGTGAGTGCCACGTGGTCCAGGACGGATTCTCTGCCTGGGTTTGCGTCCAGCTGGCCAGGGGAGGAACGGAGTGAGGAGCACGGCTTAGTCCTGTGGCTCCGAGTCGGCTCTGCGGCGCCCCTTGACCCGCGGGACGGCCCTTGTGTCCCTCTGGCCGGCAGAGTCAGATGGCAGCGGCTGTGCGGGGAGACCGTCAGGTGAGTGCTACGTGGTCCAGGACCCTCGGGAGTCCTAGAGCGCAGTGCGGGTTGAGTTCGAGATGCTGTAGCTCCGGACGGGGAGTCACCCACGGACAGCTTCCCATTTTGTGCTTTGTGCTGGGATGTGATGCCCTGACTCTCAGGGGCAGTGGACCGCGCTTGACAAGGTTTCCATGCTGCACGTGCTCCGTGTCCTAAATCCGAGGTTTCTCTGGTGTCAGGGTTTTTTGGTTTTATTTTTAATTGTATTGAACGTTTTATTTTTTCACATGTACCACTGCGCCTGGCATGGTGACAACAACGGGGCCTGGAGAGGTGGCTCAGTGGTTAAGAGCACCATATGCTCCTGCAGAGGACTGAGTTTCAGTTCCCAGCACCCACTGGCAGCTAACTACTGTAAAATCCAGTGCTGTCTTCTTGTACCCACTGACACAGGGGAGAAAGTACATCCCCTAGAGGGTTCATAAATGCATTTAAGGATGGATCCAAACAGAAGCTTTCGGATAATTTTATTCGAATTTAAGGAAAAATTCTCAGGGCAGTAAAACTGGAAATCTGGGCAGCTGCCTTGAGGTGAGCAGGGAGAAAAGCCATGAAGTCATGCAGACTTAGAGCCTATGTGGAGGTCAAACACGTGGCCTACTGATAGGAAGAAGGAAGCCCAAAGCCTTAAGGAAAGCATGTTTAAAAGCAAGCTTTGACCCAAAAGGCTGCCATGGAAATACTGTGACTCCTGGACCCTGTACCCACCTTGCCTGGGCTCAGGGATAAATTTCATCAAGCATCAATAAAAAGAAAAAGAAAGCGTGTTTAGAAAAGGGGCGTGAAGTAAAAGAGAGATTACACTTTTCTGAAGAATTGAGAAAAGCAGTAAAAATTAACCTACATTTCCTGTCTATTTAGCATGATGGGGTGAACCTGGCTTCCTAGGGGTGGTCTTATGGCATGGTGATTAGCCAGTGAAACTGGAAAGGTGGGTGGGTCTTCCAACAGATAGAGATTTTTTTTTTGACTTACAATATTTTTTATTTATTTTTCATTTTTAAAAATTTTTGGTCTTTTTGAGACAGGGTCTCCCTGTACTCACTATGTAGACCAAGGCTGGCCTGGAACTCACAGAGATCCGCCTGGGGCTGCTGGGATTAAAGGCGTGGGCCACCATGCCTGGCTACTCATAATATTTAATACAAGGTAACTAGCATACAAATGGCTATTATGCAATTTTGAGATCTGGTATAGTAACCCCCCTGAATTGGTCTTTGTGCTGGTCCTTTTAGAACTTTTTTTGTTTTTTTTTTGTTTTTTTGAGACAGGGTCTCCGGCTGGCCTGGAGCTAGCTTTGTAGACTAGGCTGGCCTGGAACGCAGAGCTCTGCCTGCATCTGCCTCCCAAGGGCTGGGATTAAAGGCATGCGCCACCTCACCACCCCGCCTTTAGAACTTTTATCATGAAATGCCTGTTGGATGTTGTCGAAACCCTTTTCTGCATTTTGAGATGATGATATGGTTTTTGTATTTGAATCCATTTATCTGATTTATGACGATTATTGACTCACTTGTGTATATTGAACCATCCCTGCATCTCTGGAATGAAGCCTGCTTGATCATAGTGAATGATCTTTTTGTTGTGTGTCTGTATGAGGTTTGCAAGTATTTTGTTGAGAATATTTGCATCTATTTTCATTAAGGATATGGGTCTATAGTTTTCTTTTTTGGTGTCTTTACCTGGTTTGGGTATTAGAGCGATGCTGGCTTCATAGAAGGAATTTAGGAGTTCTCCCTGTTTCTATCGTTTTGAATAACGTAAGTAGTATTGGTTGCAGATCTTCTTAAAATGTCTGGTAGAATTCTGCTGTAAGTTCATCTGGACAAGGGTTTTTTTTTTAAGTCTGCAGGTTTTTGTATTACTGTTTCCTTATATGTTATGGGTCTGTTTAAACTGTTCTCTTGTTGGTTTAACTTTGGTGGTTCCCATGATTTTAGATATCCATCCATTTCTTTTAGATTTTCAAATTTGGTAGCATAAAGCTTTTTAAAATATTCTCTTATAATGGTCTGGATCTTTTGTGTCTCTGTTGTGATGTTTCCCCTTTCATCTCTGATTTTGTTGATTTGGATTTGCTCTTTCTTTTGGTTAACTGGCCTAGGGTCTATCTTGTTTAGCATTTTAAAGAACCAGCTCTTAGATTCATTGATTCTCTGTATTGTTTTCTATTTCATTCATTTCTGCTGTTATTTGTTATTTCTTCTCTTCTGCTGGGTTTGGGTTTCATTTGTTTTTGCCTTTCCAGAGCCTTTTGACTGCTTTTAAAGTGTCCCAGAGGTTTCGTTGTGTTCTGTTGTCCTTTTTGTTGAATTCCAGGAATACTTTTTTTTTTTGATCCTTTTTGAGACAGGGTCTCCCAGTAGCCTCAGCTGGCCTGGAACTCACTATGTAGACCAGGCTGGCCTTGAACTCATAGAGATCTGCCTGCCTCTGCCTCCCAAGTGCTGGGATCAAACACTGGGCTGAATTCCAGGAATACTTTTATTTCTTTCTAATTTCTCCTTTGACCCACTCATCATTCAGGAGTGTTTTGTTTAATCACCATGAGTTTGTGTAGTTTCTAGGGCTTTGTCTGGTGTTGATTTTAAGCTTTATTGTGTTGTGGTCTGATAGAATGCATGGAATTATTTCAATTTGTTTGTATTTATTGTGGTTTGTTTTGTGCTGTTGAGGTTTATTTTGTGCCCTGGTATGTGATCAATTTTTGAAAAAGTTCCATGGGGTGCTGAATAGAAAGTGTTTTCTTTGGTACTTGGGTGAAATATTCAGTAGATGTCTGTTAGGTCCATTTGATATGTGGTATTTAATTTAGATGTCTCTGTTTATTCTTTTCTGGATGACCTGTTTAATGGAGACAGTAGGATAGTGCAGTCTCATACTATTACTGAGTTTGGTTTAATCTGTATCTTAAAGTCCTATAGTGTTGTTTTTATGAATTTGGGTGCACCAGAGTTTGGTGCATATATATTTCATGGTTGTAATGTCTTCTTGGTTAATTGTTCCTTTGATCAGAATGGAATGACTGTCTTTATCTCTTCTGATTAGTTTTAGTTTGAAGTCTATATTGTCAGATATAACAATTCCAACCCCTGCTTATTTCTTAGTACCATTTGCTTGGAATGTTCTTTTCCATCCCTTCACCTTAAGGTAGTGCCTGTCCTTGAAGGTGAGATGGGTTTCTTACAACAAAAGAATGCAATGGATCTTGTTTCTGAATCCATTCAACTAGCCTGTGTCTTTTGACTGGGGAGTTCAGTCCATCCATGTTTAAAGGTATTATTGAAAGGTGTGTATTGGTTACCATCGTTTTGATTACTGTTTGCATTCTTTGTCTAATTTTGTGTTTCCATGGTTATAACTTCATTTAGTTTCTTTCTGTTGCCCCTGGGGTATAATTGTTCCTTTCTCCATTCTTTGTATTGCTTAAAGTAGCTGGTTTTGTGGACATGTATTCTTTCAGCTCATTTGTGTCTTGGAAGATTTTTCTTTCCCTTTCAACTGCAATAGACATTTTTTCTGGGTAAAGTATTCTGGGTTGGCACCTATGGGCATTTAGAACTGGGAGTGCTTTGGTCCAGACTCTTGTTTGCATTGATAAGTCAGTTGTAATTCTGGTAGGTTTTCTTCTATATGTGAGTTTTTCTTTTGCTGCTTTCTGTATTCTCTCTTTGTTCTGTACATTCAGTGTTTTTACTGTGAAATGCCATGGGGCGTTTCTTTTGTGGTCCTATTTGGTGTTCTATGTGCTTCTTGTATTTGTATGGGCATATCTTTCCTTTAACTTTGTGAAATTCTCTTCTACAATCCTGATTAAGATCTGGTCAATACAGTTAACCTGAAATTCTTCTTCCTCTGTGCCTGTGATGCATAGATTTGGTCTTTTCATGGTGTCCCACATCTCCTGCATATTCCATTCCTGTGTTTTAAAAATTTTTTCATAATCTTCACTTGAGCAGTCCAGTTCTTCAACTTTATCCTTCAGTGTTGATATTTTGTTTTCTATTTCATTCATTCTATCTGTGAGGCTTTCTCCTGTTGTTTCAGTTTGGCTTACTGAGTTTTTCTCTTCTTAATTTCAGCCTGTTTTCTTCAATATTTCTATCTGTTGTGAATTCAGTCAGAAGTTTATCCCTATCTTCTTTTAGTTCTTTGGTTTTTTGTGTGTTCTTTAAATTCGTTGAATTCCTTCATCATGTTTATGATTGTTCTTTTATAATACTGTGTCCTGGGTTATCTCTAGGGGGTTCTCTTTAAAGAACTCGTCTATAGGACTGTTGGAGTTTGGTGGGAACAGGTACTGTTTTGTTTACTGTGTTATTTTTCTGTTGTGAGTTTAGCATGTGAATTTCTTTTGTTGTTTGTGATTCTGGTATGAAACTCAAACCTTCCTTTGAGTTGGCGTCTGCTTCTGTTTGTATTATTGGTGGGCCTTGGTTGTTTTCTTATAGGGTATGTAAAGCTGGTTGGTTTAGGTTTCAGGTTCTCTTGGATTTTACATTGGAGGGAACTGAAGGCTTCAGATCAGCTACTCGGGAGCTCCCACAGATGCGGGGGTTCGAACCAGCAACCCCCGGCGCAGTGATGATTGGGGATGAGTAAGCACAACATTCACCAGCCCACGCCACCCCCAATACCGGGAACACTCAGGCGCAACGGGGAGCCTAGTCAAGCAGGGACTCATTTATTGCAGGTGTTACAGAGCTTATAAAGGCACCTGGAACTCCCCCCACCCCGCCCCGAGGATGGTCACGCCCTGATCACGCACTCCTTAGCAGTGCAGAAATATTCTTCAGACTTTCAAAGCAAGCCAGGCTGTGCCCCCAGTAACTTCCTCTCAGACCTATGCAAGGTGGGGCCTTTAGGTCCCCACATACCCCCCTTTTTATTTTTATTTTAAGGCCAGACTGACTTTATTTCACGGGTTACCCACCTCATAGGCGGCTCCCTGAGGAGAGATGGCTATCTCCTTCCTCTAATCTTATGCATTTTTGCCTGTCTTAGGTTGTGTCACCTCTGATCAAGTCTTGCCCATTATTGGATCATGCACCTGGCCATGTGCATGTCCTGTCTTAAGAGTACTTGTCATGGGACATCTTACCCGTCCTTGGCTAAAAATACATCATGATTAAGGGCAGCCACGTGGGTAATGCCAGCCCATGACAGTCTTAGTCTCTTCCTAACTCAGTTAGCCAAGCATGGGCAACCAGAGGGGGTCCTGGGGAAGTCCGTAATCATGAGGAGGTGGGCCGTGGCAGTTCCAAGGGTCCTCTGTCGCCAAATTATCTAGTAAAGACACTTAAAGATAAGCATTATCAAGAGGAAGCAAGTCATGGAGGACAAGTTGAAATACTTCTGAGACCATGTACCTCAGCCAGTTGTCTGAAAGGCAGAGAGGCTGACTGGCAATGAAGCCAAGGAACTGGGTCCTTCACCCCAGATGGATATAAATAAAGAGAGGAATCTTGTCTCATGAACCATTGTCCATGGACTGTCATGCTAGTCAGTTGGATCCTGGCCTACCCACTTAAGGTTTTTCACAGGCACCCATACGGGGTTTGAATCTCCTGTAGGGTAGACACACCCAAAGCCTTGACCCCTGGTTAGCAATGGATCTGGTCTTTTCCATTGCCCCGTAATGGGGTCCTTCCATCTTACCCGTACCTCAGGTCTCTGCTCCTGTCCCCAATGCTTTTGAAACCAGGATTCCAACTGATTTTTTATGAAAATTAAGAACATTAATAG